GTATTTTGAACTTAAAATAACCAAGTAATGACGTTTGATGGTATTTTGAACTTAAAATAACCAAGTAATGACGTTTGATGGTATTTTGAACTTAAAATAACCAAGTAATGACGTTTGATGGTATTTTGAAGTTAAAATAACCAAGTAATGACGTTTGATAGTATTTTGAACTTAAAATAACCAAGTAATAGCGTTTAATGGTATTTTGAACTTAAAATAACCAAGTAATAGCGTTTAATGGTATTTTGAACTTAAAATAACCAAGTAATGACGTTTGATGGCATTTTGAACTTAAAATAACCAAGTAATGACGTTTAATAGTATTTTGAACTTAAAATAACCAAGTAATGACGTTTGATAGTATTTTGAACTTAAAATAACCAAGTAATGACGTTTGATGGTATTTTGAACTTAAAATAACCAAGCAGTTAAGCTACTTTTTAAACACTCTGTAATTCTGTTTACTTATATGAGAATATTATACTTGGTTGTACACCAGATTTATTTATTTATTTTATACTTATAGAAAAGTAAGTTTCTTTTTAAATATGTGTAAAAACATAGAGGGGGTATTTGATTACTTTTCACATTTTATATAACTGAAATAAAGTTAAAAAAGACGTGTGGCTTGTAACGTACAAAGTGCAGTGCGTGCTTTTGCTGTAACGGGTCACGAACCATGAATTATATGGTTCACAATGCTATACCTGGCCCTTCATGAATCACTGAAATAAATTGTATAATATGCAACTTTAAACGATAGCGTTATACAAAGTGATCGTATTGGATGATGTTATCCCAAGATGAAGGGAATTAATTCCCGAGTGCTATTTCGTTCCTAAGCACGTGCTATCTGTAAACGTAATTCTGTAAATGATGACGTAACGCCGTTCATTTTCTCAGTCACATTCAGCTCAGCTACTTCAGGATTTAGAACATATTCAACTCCTTAGAAAAGCTATGGCCTAAGTAACGTTTATATTAAGTCGGAGATTAATTAAATATCGTACGACAGTTTAGTAAAGTTTGAGTTTACTTAAATATCGTACGGCAGCTCAGCAGAGTTTGAGTTTACGATAGTTTGGTAAAGTTTGAGTTTACTTAAATATCGTACTACAGATCAGTAAAGTTTGAGTTTACGATAGTTTGGTAAAGTTTGAGTTTACTTAAATATCGTTCAGCCGTTTGCTAAGACATAGTCTGCTATAAATCCAAAGAGCTCGTGCTTTCGGCATGTGATGAAATACGATCTCAGCTAACACTATGTTATCTTTAAACATAGGTGTAGTAAATAGTTTGTATGTAAAATACTTTTCTACGTATGGACAACGGTAAGCTTGTTTGTTGGAATCATAAAAATCGTTCTGTCTCCAGCTTAAAATGAAAGTTCGCGTTTCGAGATTTCAATATAAAAATTACTTAATCATCAAACGAACACATACTGCTTATGTTAGTAAACCTAATAATAATATATCATTACAAAACAGCTTACTTTTCCCTAAGTTTTTATCAAATTTTCGTATCCGTCAACAGGCTTTATGTTTTCGCCCCTTCCCACAGTGGCTCAGCGTTAAGTCTGAAGGCTTATAACGCTAAAACACGGGTTTCAATACCTGCGGTGGGCATAACACAGATATCCCATTCTGTAGCTTTGCGCTTAACATCAAACGGACAGTTTTTCTTCTAATGTTATATATATATATACTACTAACAACACAACCAATACTTAACATAAGCTAATCTCGAAGTTTTCAAATTTCTTTAATTACTATTCACATTTCAACATTATTATAAATAAGTTGAATTATCGTGTCATTTCATGAGATGACAATTATCACAAGTCACTCGAAGAAGTCAACAATTTTACGAAAGTGACGTTATGTTGAAAATGTTCCTTACCTGTTTAGCTCGGACCGACAAGAAAGCTACGTAGATCTGGAAGGAAACTAGCTGAAGACACAACCTTAATGTGTGGTCTTCGGACGAAAAGGCAAATTTTCATATACTTTGCACACGACTCGCACGTGAAACGTCACCCAACAGCTACAAACAAACCCTCAGCTTGGGAACAGAAACGAGCCGACAAGACATATAGGGCGTCTTGGACGAACCTTCAAGTTACGCAGATGTTTTCCCTCGCGAATTAGGCCTAGATTTTGGGTTAACAATGTTACAAAGTGTCGGGTTTCTCCATATGAAATAACACTACCACGTTTTAGCGTAATAGGCCTTACGTTTTGTCACTTTCACAAATGTACAAAAAATATAACTTTGTGCCCCCCAATCACCCCTCTAGAAGCCCACACGTAAAATAGTGAAACTTTTTTTTTTAATATTATCGGAAATTAGTTATTATAAATAGCGAACTGGGTAACAGAAAGGTATGTTTAAAGTCTACCAAATTCACCCAAGTTGGTTCGTGTGGATACGTTTTTTCGAATTATCTTTTTTTCCTATTTTTATTTTTTGAAGCATACACGAGATCTTCTGTCCTGCGTACGTTTTGTACGCTCATGAAAATGGCGTAAACTGTGAACGATTCGTAATAATTTCAGATAGTTTTGTAGTTCTTTTGAGTTCGTGTATTGAAATATCAGTTTCTTGTTTTCTTTCGGTTTCAAAGGTTTTACAATAAACAGAACAAGAATTTTCTATATTGTTAGCCCTGATATTGTTTAGGAAAGTACATTGTTTTCTTTATAATGTTATCGAACAATAATTGTTCATAATACAAATATAAGTGACGGGAATTGAGAACAGCAACAATTATAAATTTACTTTTCAACTAATTGTTTATTTGTGGGACTACTAAGTTTTGCCCCCACTCCCCCGCGGTAAGTTTGCGGACATACAATGCTAAATCCGGGGCTCGATTCCTAGCGGTGGACAAAACAGCAGATAGCTTATTATGAGGCTTTACGCTAAAACAAGCAAACAAAAAACTAACTCTTGGATCACCCTGTATACACCATTTCGATTTTTTCAAACGACTTATTCGCAAAGGACAAAATATGTCCCTAAACTAGATTACCAGGAAATAGTGTAGATTAAACGTATTTTATGAATAATTTTTGTTAGCGAATAAACATTGTATAACCTGTTTCTTTTCCTTCAACTTCCAGATATAACTAAAACAATTTGAAGCTACACACCTTATAAACTTTGGTAATAATATCACGTAGTAAAAAAACCAAAACAAAACAAAAATGAGAACGAGAAATAAAGTCAATTGCAGAATTTTAAAACGAAATTCTTAAATTTTCGACTGAAAAGTCTTTTGATTTCTAATTTTGAGCATATTTCACACAGGAGTCGGCGATTCCCCAGTTTCTATTTTTACACTGAATCTACACCAGAGCAGGCCTTAAAATCGTGTGTCTCTCTCTCTCTGTGTGTGTGTGTATAGGAGGCACAATTGTCCCCTCAGTGTTCTGATTTACTCCACTAATGATCTCGGATTGTACCGCTAGTGAAAAGTTATTTTATATTTCTGAAACATCTCTGTTTTGCAATGTGTGTCCTTCTAGACTATTTGCGGTGTATTTGTTTTGTTTTTTAAATCCCGTCTTTACGGAAACACGAAATTACTGTAATAAAAAAATCAATTCAAACAAATTTCGATAAGGTACGTTACACTGAAATTTGTAATCTTCTTTCACCGTTGAAACTCTCTTATTTTAAGCCTTACATCAGAGATCGCGATACGATACAAAACTTAGGTGATAGTTTAAGTATGGAGTGTTAAATATTAGCTGAAGTTTATTGATTTTTTATTTTTATTTTTCAAACTGAACTAGCAGAAAAATCTCTTGGTTAAAAGTTGCCCCCCCCCCAGTGTCACAGCAGTATGTCTGCGGACTTACAAAGCTAGAAACCGGGTTTCGATACCCGTGGTGGGCCAAGCACAGATAGCCCATTGTGTAGCTTTGTGCTTAGAAGTTGTTCTATTAAAATAAAATGATAAAAACTGCTTATACTCATGTCGAGAATACTTGATGAACAAGTATTAATTGTTTGATTTGGTGGCGAATTTAATCCTTTGCTGATTAAGTAAACATTGTCGCCATATCTTTTCTTTAGAATTTCAGTTAGCTGTCCACCCATCTCTACTTTTGAAAAAATAAACTAAAGAGAAAAGCGGCGAGTTACAGAACCCATCTTCAACACGTGGGGTGAGTTACAGAACCCATCTTCAACTCGTGGGATGAGTTACAGAACCCATCTTCAACTAGTGGGGTGAGTTACAGAACCCATCTTCAACTCGTGGGATGAGTTACAGAACCCATTTCCAATTCGTGGGCTACTCTAATCAAATTGAATTTGACTGTCACTTTTATAATACAATTTTATAAAAATTGTGAAGCATGTTTATTTAGCAGATACACGGGGGGGGGGATCTCGGATCAACAGTCCACCACGTTAATCACTGGACCGAATTGGACCTTTACTCCTGCAATTCGTTAGTTTTTTGTATTTGTCTTTTAAAGAAATGGTCTGATCGAAACTTATGCAGGTGACTAAACAATGCTCAACAAATTTGTTAGAATCACTGTGGTGTAGAGTAATCTTTAAGAGTTTTGATTTAGTTCATGTTACGTGATGTTATAGCTTTAAGAAGAAAGATTTAAATTCCGTTTCATGTTATTATTACATCACGTTTTTATATTTATTCGAGGTGACACATATTCACTAATAGACACAGCTAAATATGGGGTTTGTACCCCTGCTTGTAAGTATCGTTACTGGTAGGAAATAAAAACAAATTTGGGAAAAGACATAACGGCATTTTAAAAACGTATGTGGCAAATAGCCACGCATTCCTAGTTTCTCGTAGCACCTCCCATTAGAAACAAAATATACGTTCTTTGCATCATTGATTATTGAGAATATTAAATATTAATGTCGTTAATACTTGATTTTGGAGATATCCAGAAAATTCTGTACTGTAGAAAAACGGTATTCAGTTTCATTCTGGACTGTAACTCGTCATAGATATCCAGAAAATTCTGTACCATAGAAAAACGGTATTCAGTTTAAATCTGGACTGTAACTCGTCATAGATATCCAGAAAATTCTGTACTGCAGAAAAGCGGTATTCAGTTTAAATCTGGACTGTAACTCGTCATAGATATCCAGAAAATTCTGTACTGCAGAAAAACGGTATTCAGTTTAATTCTGGACTGTAACTCGTCATAGATATCCAGAAAATTCTGTACTGCAGAAAAACGACATTCAGTTTAATTCTGGACTGTAACTCGTCAAAGATATTGAGAAAATTCTGTACTATTCAGTTTAATTCTGGACTGTAACTGGTAAGAGATATTCAGGACATTTTACATTGTAGAAAAACGGAATTCAGTTTATTTCTGGATTATCAGAGATATGGAGTAAAATCTGCATATATTAAACACATTCTAGAGTTTAAACAAAAAACGTTAAACAAACAAAAATACAAAATTAGGCCATAGTTCAAACACTTTAAATTTTAGATAACTTCTGAAACATAGGTTTACTTAAATTTATATCCCCTGTTTTACACTGTGACCTGCCCGAAAACTAACTTAGTGTGTATATTTTAGTCACTGAAACACGGAGCGAGTTCTATAAAAAACTAGTTTGTTGGTTAGAACCAAGATAAAAAACTAGTT